ACCTCTCTGGCCACCCCACTGAGCTAGCTGGGCTAGATGAGCCTGGGAGAAGAGTTGTTTAGGAAGTGAGAGGCTGCTCTCCGCAGAAACTCAAGGCTCAGTTCCTCCTGGTGACTCAGATGGGCAGCCCAGTGGGCACACGTGGTCTCTCTCCACATGTGGCTGGGTTTTACTTCCAGAATAGATGGAGAGGCAGGGGTGGGGGTTAGCATGCTTGGGGAATCTCAGAGAGCCCTGGTGGTGTGGCGTACCCTCAGAACACAGGTATCTCAAAGGCTGACCCAGCTTCTGTGTCCCCTTCCCTGGGTGAGGAGGGGACATTCATGGCCAGGTGGTGACTGGCCTCTGGGGAAGGCAGCCCAGATTCCACTGGCCACCATACTTCCTTTTTCACAACTTTCTCACCCCTGTGGTTTCCCATGTCATCATGTGGCCGCTTCCTGCAAGGCCTTAGTGGGGTGCAGGTATGAACACAGTGTCAGGCAAGGAGGCATCTGGAGGGGAACCCTGGCTTTTCCTGGGGGGCCTCCCTCCCTGCACCCCAGCCCTGTCCTCTCCCATGGCTACTGATGCCTTCCCCCCCACCCCAGAGGTGGCCCACATCTGCACAGATCAGACCAAAAAAAATCACGTCTTCGTGACTCTCATAAGCCTGCCCAGTGAGGCCCAGGCATTAGACCATGTGCTGGGGACTCAGGCCCACACATATACGCATGTCAGCATTCATGCTCACAGGTCTGCACGTGCTGGGGCATGTGTCACACACAGGGCTCTGTAGGAAGCTGACTCTCAGCCCCTGCAGCTTTCTGCCTGCCTGGACAGGGAGGTGTTGAGAAGGCTCAGGCAGTCCCGGGCCAGGACCTTGGCCTGGGACTGGGGTACTGAGTGGCCCTAGAATCAAGGGTGGCACGGGCTTAAGCAGTTGCCAGATGTTCCTTGGTACTTTGCAGGCAGACCATGTGGACCCTGGTGAGCTGGGTGGCCTTAACAGTAGGGCTGGTGGCTGGAACATGGTGCCCAGATGGTCAGTTCTGCCCTGTGGCCTGCTGCCTGGACCCCGGAGGAGCCAGCTACAGCTGCTGCAGTCCCCTTCTGGTGAGTGCCCCTCAGCCTAGGCAAAAGCTGGCAGGTTTTCCCAGAGGGTCATCTTGGATTGGCCAGAGGAGGATGCCAGGCACAAGTCTGTGGTGTATCATTTCCCCTGTCTTTCCAGGACAAATGGCCCACAACACTGAGCAGGCATCTGGGCGGCCCCTGCCAGGCTGGTGCGCACTGCTCTGCTGGCCACTCCTGCATCCTCACCGTCTCAGGGACTTCCCGTTGCTGCCCCTTCCCAGAGGTGAGCGTGCCATCAGCCCGATGGAGGGGCTTAGGTCTGCATTGATGCTTTTCCTGCAGTCTCCCACTTGCAGATAAAAGGGCCTTGCCAATGCCGGTTTCTCTGTGTCCTACAGGCCGTGGCGTGCGGGGATGGCCATCACTGCTGCCCACGGGGCTTCCACTGCAGTGCAGATGGGCAATCCTGCTTCCAAAGATCAGGTGCAGCCGGGATGTGGGTGCAGGGCAGACAGACGGGCAGCATGTAGAGCCTGGAACCCAGGAGCCCAGCTGGCGGGGCAGCCCCGATTCCTGCCCTCGTGCCCTCATTCATGTGGCATCTGTACTAAGCAACACCCCTGCTGTAGACAGAGGTGCAGCACTGGGGATAGGAGGGGCAGGAGAAAGTGCAAGACTCCAAGTCCAGGCATTGTGGGGGTGGGGAAAGGTAAAGCTGAGCCGATCTAATGCCAACCCATCATCAGTGGGTGCCCCTTCCCCATGCCATCTTGCTGAGGGAGGGACTGGATTGTGAGGAGGGTGAGTTAGGCATGCCTAGGAGATCACTGAGCCCTAGTGTCACCCCCAAACCCCAGTAGCTGGGCTTGCAGGCCCTGGTGCCACCAGCTCTGTGCGCGATGGGGCAGTCACCTTCCCTGAGTGGGCTGGTAGAATCCCGGGTCACCGTGTCCACAGGTAACAACTCCGTGGGTGCCGTCCAGTGCCCTGATAGTCATTTTGAATGCCCGGACCTCTCCACGTGCTGCGTTATGGTCGATGGCTCCTGGGGGTGCTGCCCCATGCCCCAGGTACAAATCTGGGGAGACGGGGGTACGTGGAGGGAGGTGGGGGCAGAGGGTGGGGGCCAGGGGCAAGGGGTGAAGACGGAGTCAGGACCATTTTTTCTCAGGCTTCCTGCTGTGAAGACAGGGTGCACTGCTGTCCGCATGGTGCCTTCTGCGACCTGGTTCACACCCGCTGCATCACACCCACGGGCACCCACCCACTGGCAAAGAAGATCCCTGCCCAGAGGAGTAACAGGGCAGGTGAGGAGGTGGGAGAGCATCAGGCCAGGGGCTGGGGTGGGGCCTCATTGACTCCAAGTGTGGCAAAAAGTTCCCTCCACCCTGGCTGCCCCTCACACTTGCTTCTCTTCCAGTGGCTTTGTCCAGCTCAGTCATGTGTCCGGATGCACGGTCCCAGTGCCCTGATGGTTCTACCTGCTGTGAGCTGCCCAGTGGGAAGTATGGCTGCTGCCCAATGCCCAATGTGAGTGAGGGGCTGGAGCCAGCTTGGCTGTGTGCCCCCAGCCACTTGGCCCTGACATGCACCTTACGGGGCTCTGGGGCATGGGGCTGGCTGGCTGCTTGCTGGGAGCCTGGCTGATGCAGGGTTCATGCCACCCCCTAGTGGAGGATTGGGGCAGTGCCAGCCATCAGCCTGGCTGCTCCCTGTGCTCTGCTGAGCCTGGAAGTGACAAAGACTCACCCGTCCCCACCCAGGCCATCTGCTGCTCCGACCACCTGCACTGCTGCCCCCAAGACACTGTGTGTGACCTGATCCAGAGTAAGTGCCTCTCCAAGGAGAACACTACCATGGACCTCCTCACTAAGCTGCCTGCACAAACAGGTACCAGAGGCAGGGCACAGATACAGGGGTGGGGCCCTCTTTCCTCCCTTTTAGGCCTGGCCTTAGGATCACTGCAAGGTGGTGTAGGTGGTGCCCTCCATCTTCAACACCTGGTGCCAGCTGTGGAGCCGGCAAAGGGTGGATACCGCTGAGGGTCCCCAGTGCCACTTCTGATCTGTCCTCTCTGCCTCCCTCACAGTGGGAGACGTGAAATGTGACATGGAGGTGAGCTGCCCAGATGGCTATACCTGCTGCCGTCTACAGTCGGGGGCCTGGGGCTGCTGCCCTTTTACCCAGGTACCCAGGGGTGGTGGGTGGGTGCGCTGAGCAGTGTGGCAGCCAACTGGGCCCCAGTGCCCACTGGCCCTTCTCCATCTGCCCTAGGCTGTGTGCTGTGAGGACCATATACACTGCTGTCCCGCGGGGTTTACGTGTGACACGCAGAAGGGTACCTGTGAACAGGGAACTTACCAGGTGTCCTGGATGGAGAAGACCCTAGCTCACCTCAGCCTGCCAGACCCGCAAGCCTTGAAGAGAGATGTCCCCTGTGATAATGTCACCAGCTGTCCCCCCTCCAATACCTGCTGCAAACTCATGTCTGGAGAGTGGGGCTGCTGTCCAGTCCCAGAGGTACATGGGAGGGGACAGCATCGTGGCCTGGGCAGGTGGGTGGCCAAACTCCTATTGCTTTCCGCCCTCCGCATGGCCAGTAGGTGACACCCAGCTCTGTCAGATTCGTTCCCAGCTGGAGGTGCTGTAAGCAGGAGAGGCGGGCTGGAGTAGGTAGGGGCTCGGCACTGTGCCCCACCCCACATAGTGGCTACCTAGAACGCCCTTTCCTGCCCACCCCCCAGGCTGTCTGCTGCTCGGACCACCAGCACTGCTGCCCCCAGGGCTACACGTGTGTAGCCGAGGGGCGGTGTCAGCGGGGAAGCGAGATCGTGGCTGGACTGGAGAAGATGCCTGCCCGCCAGGCTTCCTTATCCCACCCCAGAGACATGGGCTGTGACCAGCACACCAGCTGCCCAGTGGGGCAGACCTGCTGCCCAAGCCTGGGTGGGGGCTGGGCCTGCTGCCAGTTGCCCCACGTGAGTACCTCCCTGCCTGCCCCTGGATAGGGGAGCTAAGCCCGGCGAGGGGACAGGAATGTAACGCCATTCTGTGCTCCCTTCCCCGCCAGGCTGTGTGCTGCGAGGATCGCCAGCACTGCTGCCCGGCTGGCTACACCTGCAACGTGAAGGCCCGATCCTGCGAGAAGGAAGTGGTCTCTGCCCAGCCTGCCACCTTCCTGGCCCATAGCCCTCACGTGGGTGTGCAGGACGTGGAGTGTGGGGGAGGGCACTTCTGCCATGATAACCAGACCTGCTGCCGAGACAACCGAGGGGGCTGGGCCTGCTGTCCCTACCGCCAGGTCAGTGCCATCCCCCACCCTGGGGCTGGGTATGGCCAGGGACCAGGTCCCACCTCATCCAACCCTCTCACCCCCCTCTGACCACCCAGGGCATCTGTTGTGCTGATCGGCGCCACTGCTGTCCTGCTGGCTTCCGCTGCGCAGCCAGGGGCGCCAAGTGTTTGCGCAGGGAGGCCCTGCGCTGGGACGCCCCTTTGAGGGACCCAGCCTTGAGACAGCTGCTGTGAGGGACACTACTGAAGACTCTGCAGCCCTCGGTACCCCACTCGGTGGGTGCCCTCTGCTCAGGCCTCCCTAGCACCTCTCCCCAACCAAATTCTCCCTGGCCCCCATTCTGAGCTCCCTATTACCATGGGAGGTGGGGCCTCAATCTAAGGCCTTCCCTGTCAGAAAGGGGTTGTGGCAAAAGCCACATTACAAGCTGCCATCCCCTCCCCATTTCTGTGGACCCTGTGGCCAGGTGCTTTTCCCTATCCACAGGGGTGTTTGTGTGTGTGCGTGTGTGAGTTCCAATAAAGTTTGTACACTTTCTTAAAAGTGTCTGATTTGCCGCCCTGCCTGCCCTCCCCAGGGCCCCAGAGCAAGGGTTCATGTCCACTGCCAACACTCCCTTCCCCTACCCCACAGAAAGACACACACAGCCTTAACCTCACCAGTTTTGTATTTGCTGCTGCCCACATCGGCTGTATCACATTACCCCCTAGTCCCCAGAGCTGTCCCAGCCACCAGCCCTGTGACATCGTAGCCCAGAGATGGGCTAGTCAGCAAGCAGCACCCCCTCCCCTCCCAGGGGTCCAGAGAGAACGCCCCCTCCCTTCCCAGCCCTCACACTAGCAGCTGAGGCTGGGTCACCCCTCCTGCTTTCCCACAATAGAGCTTTCTATGTACAGCCACGTCTACACAGGCACTGCTTCCCCCCAGCCCTCCTCCCCGGCACCTCCCCTTGGGGGCTGGACCCCCCCCTCCTCCCCGGCTTGGAGGCAGACACAGGGTCCCTTGCAAGACACAACCCAGCACCTACCACGGAACGGCTCCAAAGCCCCTGGGCCCCTCTCCAGCCTGGGCCTGGGGGCTACGCGCGAGGGCCCCCGCAGGCCCCGGGGGCGCGCACCCTGGGTGCGGGCTCGCGCGGGAGGGGCGGTGCCAGGCCCGGCGCCGGCGCTACTTGACGTTGAACACCATCAGCGGCCGCTCCTCCCGCCGCTGCCACGGGCTCTTCTTGTCGCCGGCCTCGTCGCCCACCTCCGTCCCCAGCTCGTCCTCCGGGCTGGTGAGCGAGTCGCGCCGCAGCTCGCTGGCGCTGCTGCGGGAGCTGTCCCCGCGGCTGCGGCCCCGCCCCCGGGGTACCGTGGCCGCCCGGCCCTCGGGCGCCGCCACCTCGTCCAGCAGCGGCGTCAGCGAGTTGTCCTCTGGAGAGCAGAGACCCGTGCGGCTCTCGCTGCTGCTGGGCTCCGTGTCCTCGCTGAGCGCCAGACGCGGGGGCGCGGGCGGCGGCGGCGGCGCGGCAGGCGGGGCGCGCTCCCGCTCCTCCCTCGCGGGCCGGCGGCGCGCGGGCCGCGCCTCGTGCACATCGACGCCCGAGTCCAGGCTGGCGTCGGTGCTGCGGGCCCCGCCGCCCGCCTGCAGGTCGATGTAAGAGTGGCGCACTTGCGAGTTGGAGCGCCCGTCGAGGGACACGAACCAGGCGCGCGGGTGCGGCTTCACGCCCAGTTCCAGTAGCTTCTTCTCGGTCAGGGCCTGCAGCTCCCCGTTGAGCTGCGCCATGGTGGACTCGTTGAACAGCACAGGGATGGTGACCGAGCCACTGACGGGCGCCGCGCGCCCGGCCCCCCAGCCTCGCCGCCGCCCCCGCCGCCCTCGCCCCCCGGGCCTGAGTGGCCCTGCATCTGCGGGCGCTGGGGGTCGGGCTGCGGAAAAGCGCGCGCTGGGCCGGGTGCCGTGCCCTCGGGCGGGGCCGGCTCGTCGCCCACGCCCGCGGCGCCAGCCTCGCCGCCGAGGCGCACGTAGTGCGCGGGGATCACCAGGGTGGGCATGACGTTGCGGTAGACGTTGTCCTTGAGGTGGTCGATGGAGCCGCAGAAGATGAGCTGCCCCGCCTGGCCCAGCGACGGCGGCCGCGCCAGCTGGTCCACCGACTGCGACAGCAGGAAGTCGGGGGTCTTGCTCTCGGCCGCCCCCTTGTGGCCCAGGTAGTGGTCGAAGGGCGGCGGCGGCGAGGGCGGCTCGTGCAGGAAAGCCGCAGCCCCGGAGGGCCCGCGCCGGTACTCCTCTAGGCCGGGCTCCAGCCCGCCGGGGCCCTCGGCCGAACGCGCGCCCTTGAGCCCGGCGCTTTCGCCCCCGCGGGCACCCGAAGGCTCGGCGGCCGGGCGGCTGGCCGAGCGCGGCTTGGTGCGGAAGAAGTCGTCCCGGGAGGAGGCCAAGTCCCGGGAGCTGGAGAAGGCCGAGTGGAGGGGGCCTGGAGGCGGAGCCTCGGGGTCCCCCGACGGGGCGGGTTCCAGGGGTCCCCCACAGATGAGGTGGAGCTGGGACATCGAGGTGGCCTGGTCTCGTTTGTTACCGTCAGAGGGCCCCGAGAGCTGCAGCTTGCGGTGCTGTTGCCTCGGCTTCAGGCAGCGCCTCCTGGAAGGGAGGGAGCAGAGGGGGCCTCTCAGGAAAGGGTGAGGGCCAGAGTTGGCCCCGAACCCCCTTAGATGCAAGACAAGAGATGAATATAGTGGAAGAGGTGAGGAGAATGCCTGGGGCGCCCAGGAGAGATGGCGGGGAGCCGTGTCCATTTGGCGGTCCCCTCAGGGTAAACTCTTGCACTCCTCTGCATGTAGGATGTGCTGCGAGAACCAGGGATGAGCATCTTAGCCGTCTGTGGGTGTGTTCGGCCTGGAGTCCTCTGGGGAAGAGAGCTGGGCTGCTAGGGGCAGTGGCAGATCTCTCTGGAGGGGCCGGGCTGCAAGTCCTTAAGCCCTGCCTCCCCTCCCACCTCCCCGCTGTCTTCAGCCACTAGCACCAGCCCTTCAGGTCTTAGCATGTTTACAGGAAGTCTTTTCCTGTCTGCCCCTTGAGGACCAGAAGTGGATTTTATGCATCTTCGGGGCCCCAGGGCCCGGTGCAAGTGCAGGCCTCAGTCAGAGGAGAGGAGGGGAGGGTGGGGGAAGCCCGGTGCTCACCGACAGTAGTAGATGAGCAGACACAGCAGGATGAGCACCAGCAGGGCAAGGGCTGCCAGGATGGTGAGCAAGAAGATGGTGTGGTAGGTGCCGATGTCCTGGATGCCCGACGTGATGGTGACCAGCCCTGTACCAGGCGAGGGCTTAGCGTTCAGGTGTGGACGCCCTTCCCGCCTTTCAGAAGTCTGCTCTCCCAGCTCCCCTCCTCCACGGCCCCTATGCCCACTGCCCCACTACTCTTACCAGCCGTGGGGGAGGCCATGGCGGCGACCCAGTACCCCAGCTGAGGGGAGACGAAGGTCCAGTAGAGCTGCCGGCCTTCCTTCCGGATTATACCAGTGCCATTGCGCACCCACAGCCCTGGGAGAGGCAGGGGTTTTGTCACACTTGAGTCCCTCCCACTTAAGTCCCACTTTCCTCCCTCAACTCAAGCACCTGCAACCCCCTGAGGCACTTACCACTCTTGGGGTCGAATCTCCAGGCTGGAATGCTGGTGCCCACGGTGAGGGCACGAGTCTCGGAGGGCACGGGCAGGGACAGGTGAATGGGGCCTGAGAGTGGCACCTCTGTCCCATTACCTGTCAGCAGGTGTACGCTCACAGCAGCCAGGGGCATCAGCTCCAGCCAGGAGCCATTGCCTGCGGGAAGAGCGTACAGGGCTGAGGGCTGATCCTGAGCCTGGGGAGACCCCGTCCACGCTGGGCACCCAGCCTACCTGAGCTGGAGGCCTCAGTGCCCAGGAAGGCAGGGAAAGCCCGCATTTCCTGCTGGGTGCTGGCAGGCGTGAGTGACGCCCAGAGCTGGCTGTAGGTGGAGCTGACAGGCAGGCGGGCAGCCCGGCGCTGGAACTGCACCAAGGGCTGGGAGCGGGCACCTGGAGGGAGAGAGGGGCTGCAGTGGCGTGACCACGGACAGGACCCCCAGGGACCAGAGCAGAAACCCATTATCTAAGGAAAAGGGGGATATTAGGTCAGGCCACTTCAGAAGGCCAGGGAGGGTGATGCCTTGGGGAGAAAGCTGGGCAGTCATGGAATGTTAACCTGGAAGGGACATGGACTTGAAATCTCTGTGTGAGCCTCAGGAATTTACTTGCTTTCTTAGAAGTTTCCTTATAGAACCTATAAAATATTGCGATCCAGATCCTCAAACAGTATTGTCTACTATGTGGCAGGCACCAGGTTAGACACTGGGGGCTCAAAGATGAATGCCTGCTGTGATGGGAATGTTTTCTAGCTGTGCTGCCCATTATGGTACCCACTGGACACACGTGGCTGTTAAGCATTTGAAATGTGGCTAGTGTGACTGAGGAACTGGATTTTTAATTTTTAAAAATGTAATGAATTTTTTCTAGATGGGTGCAGTGGCTCATGCCTGTAATCCCAGCACTTTGGGAGGCCAAGGCGGTCGGATCACCTGAGGTTGGGAGTCAGAGACCAGGCTGACCAATATGGAGAAACCCCAATTCTACTAAAAATACAAAATCAGCTGGGCGTGGTGGCGCATGCCTGTAATCCCAGCTGCTTGTGAGGCTGAGGCATGAGAATTGCTTGAACCTGGGAAGCAGAGGTTGTGGTGAGCTGAGATTGTGCCATTGCACTCCAGCCTGGGCAACAAAAGCGAAATTCTGTCTCCAAAAAAAAAAAAAAGGCCGGACACGGTGGCTCACGCCTGTAATACCAGCACTTTGGGAGGCGGAGGCAGGTGGATCACGAGGTCAGGAGTTCAAGACCAGCCTGGCCAAGATGGTGAAACCCCGTTTCTACTAAAACTGCAAAAATTAACCAGGTGTGGTGGCAGGCGCCTATAATCCCAGCTACTCGGGAGGCTGAGGCAGGAGAATCACTTGAACCCAGGCAGCAGAGGTTGCAGTGAGCCGAGATCATGCCATTGTACTCCAGCCTGGGCAACAGAGTGAGAATCCATCTCTGGATGGATTAATTTTAAAAAATTAATTTTTTTAAATTTTTTTTTTTTTTTTTTTTTGAGACTGTCGCCCAGGTTGGAGTGCAGTGGCTCAATCTTGGCTCACTGCAAGCTCCACCTCCCAGGTTCACGCCATTCTCCTGCCTCAGCCTCCCCAGTAGCTGGGACTACAGGCGCCCGCCACCACGCCTGGCTAATTTTTTTTTTTTTTTGTATTTTTAGGTGAGATGGGGTTTCACTGTGTTAGTCAGGATGGTCTCGATCTCCTGACCTCGTGATCCGCCCGTCTCGACCTCCCAAAGTGCTGGGATTACAGGCGTGAGCCACCGCGCCCGGCCAAATTAATTAATTTTTGATTTAATTTACTTCAATTTAATATGTAGCTAGTGGCTACTGCATCAGACAGTTTAGGTCGTGTGTGTGTGTGTGTGTGTGTGTGCTGGGGTGGAGGGGACAGACATATAAACAATTCCAATACAGTATGGTCACAGCTAACATTAAGCTTTAAGCTATGCTGCGCACTGTTCTAAGCAGGTTACCTGTATTAACCCCTGCAATTAGGAAAATAGCCCCTCAGCTAGGTGTCTTTATTATCAGCCTCATTTTAGAGGTGCAAAAATGGAGGCAGGCAGGGGTTCAGTAACTTGCCCAAGGTCACAATCCTCAAGCCTGGATAGAAGCCCAGACCACTGGGCTCCAGGCCCATCCTCTCCCGTGCCATTCCTCCTGCCTTGCTATCCAAATAGAGGGATGCAGGGAACTAGGGGAGCTGGTCTCACTCAGCTCAGGGCAGGCCCTGTGGAGTCTTGCAGGATGTGGAAGACTCAGCCAGGAAAGAAAGAGGGAAAGGACATCCAGGAGGCCTGGCATGAGAAAGGCCCAGAGGTGTGGGGCAGAGGGCGGCCCGGGCTCTGGAAGGTGCTGTCAGCTCTGAGATGGCACCTGGGCTTGGTACTGAAAGCAGTAGGTACCATGCAGGGGCTTCAAGCTAGGGGGCTACAAAGGGTCCACTGGCATTTTAGAAACCTGCAGGGGCACTTAGAAGCCTCTGGTTTGGGATCAGAGTGACGAAGGTGAGCAAACAAGAGCAGCTTGGCGAGGCCGGGTGAAGTGGCTCATGCCTGTAATCCCCGCACTTTGAGAGGCTGAGGCGGGTGGATCACCTGAGGTCAGGAGTTCGAGACCAACCTGGCCAACATGGCAAAACTGTCTCTACTGAAAATACAAAAATTAGTCTGGCGTGGTGACGGGTGCCTGTAATCCTAGCTACTCAGGAGACTAAGGCAGAAGAATCCCGAGGTTATGCCACTTCAGTTTGGGCAACAGAGCAACACTCTATCTCAAAAAAAAAAAAAGAAAAATCTAGCTCCATGACAAGGGCTCAGGCTGAGACTACAAACCGGGAAGGGGCTCCTCGAACTCTGAAACCCACCATGGCCCTCTAAGCGGAACGGAGCCCCCGAACCCTCACTGTCCTCTACTACCCTCCACCTGATGTCTCCCCCGGCCTTCCTCTCCAGTGGAGGTGCCTCTGCTTCCCTTTCACTCCTGAGTCGAGGGCTGACCGCTCCGTTCGACAAGCTCTCACCCAGCCGGGTCCCCTCGCAGGTTAGGGCCGTCTCAGCACTGAAAGCAGCTGCCCTCCACTCCACTGCCCTGCCTGCTCTGGAACTATTTCAGGGCTTGCAATGATCTGTCTTCCTACTTGTCTGTGAACATCCAAAGGCAAGGAGCGGGTCTTCTTCCTCACTGTGGTTCCCAGCACCAGCCACAATGCCTGGCACGGCCTAGGAGTTGAAGTAAGTACTAGCTGAGCGAGACCAAAAGCCGGGGGTAGATCAGGACAGCTGCAGGCTTTCTCTGGGCCTTGCACTTCCTGTGCACCTGTGCATCCAGCAGGTGCACAACAAATCCGTGTAGGCCCATTGAAGATAAAGGTGGCAGGGAAGGTAGGAATAGATGGAGAACAGAAACCACGAGAATCCCCGATAACTATAAACATTTATTGAACACCTGTACTGTGTTTTTTCACTTTTTATGAGATTTAATTCTTACTCCAATTTGATGATGTAGGCACTAACCTTCCACATCTTACAAATGAGCAAATTATGGCTCAGAGAGGTGAAGTGACTTGCCCAAGGACACCCAGCTAATATAGGACAGTGGAGGTCTCTACACCCAGGTTAGGGGAAGGAAGAAGTTGGCGTGGGTGAGGGGGAGCCTTACCGGGAGAGCCTAGGAGAATGTGCACCAGGTCCTCATAGAGGATGAGCGTGGCCGGCCGCTCAGGGAGCAGGTAGAGACTGACAGATGCATACACTGTGGGAGGGATGGCCGGTCAGCTCCAGGAAAGCCTGCCCCCCACCCCCCAGCCAGGCACCCCCTCCATCTGAGTCCCAGAGGCTTCACCCTCAGCCCCCTCTGTGTACCCCAGCCCAGGCAGCAGCTGCTGGAAAGCCTCCCCCTCCACCCCCAAGGAGACTATTTTGGGAAGGGGCTGATGGAGGGTCAGCTGCTGTCCCCCCCCACTCCACCTGCCCCTGCACTCACAGGGCAGCTTGTCAACACGCCAGGGCACAGAGTTGGTGAGGAAGCCAGGGCGGGCAGCAGTGACCAGCACCCAGGTGCCCAAGCGATAACTGAGGGGCAGGGTGGCCACACCCTCTGAGTCTGTGGTACCAGCTGCCAGCAGAGTCCGGTTCCCAAACACATCCACTGAGGCCCGGGCCAGGGGCACCAGCTCTCCGCTCACATACACCTGCACCTTGATCAGGATCTCTGTGGGCAAGATGGGGTGAAGGAAGTGAGGATGAGGGAGGGGGAAAGAGAACTGGGGGGAGCCCCAATATCAGAGGAAGGAGCTGTGTTTGGGAGAGTCTTTGGGGCTGAGGCTAGAGAAGGCATGATTTAAGACCCAGCATTCAGTGAGAAACCTCCTATCAGCCCATGAAGGAGGTGGGACTATTCCCATATTTCATTGTCTGACACATGCACTGTGTCACATTTTCACAATTCTAAACTCAGGCTATGTCTATGATTGATGATGCCATCGTTATAACTGGCAGCATTTCTTCCTTTCTTACTGGTACCTGAAATCATGGTGCATCTTACAGTCAGTGGTGTACTGGATTTGATAATATATGCTCTTAGTCCATTTTACAGATAAGGAAACTGAGGCTTAGAGAGTTTAGATACTTGGACTACAGCTAAGTGGAGATCTGGGATCCAGACCTGGCAGTCTGCCTCTAGAAGCAACATTCTTAACCCCGGGCCTGGGGAGAGGAGGACAGGAGGGCTGAGAAAGGCTAAGTAAAGCTGGATATGCAGGCGGAGAGAAGGGTCAAGATTCAGCAGTTTGAAAGGGAGGATGGAGGCTAGGGCAGAGTTAGGGGTCTTGGGAAAAAATTGACAGGGGACACTAGGAAAATGGTCATTCCCGTCATTCATCCTTTTCCCAGAATCCTTTGCACAAGCCTGTTTCCCTTCAGATTTAGGGACTCACCCCAACCCTATGCCCAGACAAATTACTTCTGCCCCCTCCCCCTCACATGAACCGCCTGCCCCCTCCCAGCTGGTCAGCTACAGTCAGTCACCATGGCAACGCCCTCATTCCTCCCAGGAGATCAGGCAGGGAGCTGGGGCCCTGGCAAGGGGAAGGAGATCTGGGGGGGTGCAACCCAGGCCCAAGAGAACTATTGTGGAGGGGGCTGGGGAGGGAAGCCCAAGTGTTTTGCTTTCCAGGGATGCCTCTGCCCCCAGCCTAAGGAGAGTCTGGCCAGGCCATCAGGCAGGTGTCCTGCCCTCAGATGGCGTGATGGGGAGGAACCAAGCCTTGAGTTGTTCCCATGGATTCTCCAGGCAGTCTCTCTGATCCAGGGCACCCCTTCCCATCAGCACAGCCCCTCCCTCAAGAACACACCTCACCCCTACCTTCCTGCTAACAAGGTGTGTCATGCATGTATGGACACCTCAGTGGGGGGCCCAGGAGGCAGGTGGGGAGTGGGCTGAGTGCTGGATGCAAATCTAGTGGGGGTTGGGTACGGAAGGAAGAGTCTAGAGCTGAGAGCAGCAGGGCCTGGGGAGGTCAGGGTGCTGCGGAGACTTCGAGGAGAGGGAAGGCCTTAGAGTGGAGCCTGACACTCAGCAGTGACAGGTGTCTTAGTTCAGGCTCCCAACCCGGAGCCAGTGCCACGCCTGCCCTAGGCATCCCATCCAGCTGTTCCCCTGAGCCCACCTCCCCTCCCAGGCCAGAGCCCAACCCTGCAGGGTCGGTGCACACTCCACCCACTCGCTCTCTGCTGCTACAGGAAGGTGGCACCCCTGTACTGTTTTTTTGCACACTTGATGAGATTTCTTACTTCAATTTGATGATGTAGGCACTATCCTTCCATGTCTTACAAATGAACAAATTATGGCTCAGAGAGGTTAAGTGACATACCCAAGGGCACCCAGCTAATACGGGAGAGTGGAGGTCTATACACCCAGGTTGGGAGAAAGAAGAATTGGCTTGGGGTGGGGGGAGGGGAGAGCCTAGGAGGATGTGCACAAGGTCCTCATCCATCCCCCCACCAACACCCATTAGGAATTCTGAGAAGCCAGAAGGGCCTGGCTACTCCCACCCCCATCCCGGGCTTAGGAACAGCTGGATAGAGCAGCTGGGGAGAGGGACCCCGAGTCTGAGATACTTGGGGTCATTTGAGGGAATGGCTTGGGTTCAAGAGTCAGAGCTTCAGAATGGGGAGGGAGCTGGGGAAACAAAACTGGGGTGGGCTGGTAAGGCTCTGTGCCAACCTTGGGGGTGGGGGAGAAGGGGGCAGGTGCCTAGCAGATTCCCTTCCCCCTTCCCCTCAACCTGGGCTCCCCGCCAGCTGCCCCAGAGAACCCCCCTATCCTGGCTCTATTCCAGCCAATTCCCTGGGCCCCTTCCCCTGAGGTGCAGGGACTTGAGGGGAGGGACGTCCTAAGAAACTAGGGCTTCTTCCTACTAAGCAAAGCCTCATCTCCTCCCCCAGAGAGCTGGGGAGACTGAGGCAGAGGGCGAACCCTCCCCAATCCTCAAAGCCTGACATACCATATAGCATCCACCTCTCCCGGCTCCAGGCCTGCCTCTATCCAGGAGGAAATCCGACCCTCTCCCTTCATCCGGACCCCACTTCCCTCATCCAGACCCCCCCACCCTGCTTTTCCTGCCAGCTCCTTAGTGTGGGGGGTGAGGAGTGAACACTGCTTCAGGCAGGGATGGGGCCCACAGGCAGGGGGGAGAGAGCAGGAGCACGGGAGGTGGGCTCAGGGCTGGAGTAGGGGGAGGCTCATAAGCATCCAGGCCTGCCTGTGGAGTGTGGAGTCAGGGTCTTGCTCCCCCACCCTTTCTGCGGAAGCCGGCCCCACCCCCACCTCACACACCCACCTGCGCCCGGTGAGTCGCTGGGGAGGGTCTCCTCCACTGCGAAGGAGATGGGAGATGAGGAGGGGGTGATCTGGGGGCGGGCAGGGGACAGGAGTGCCAGGAGGCCTGCTGAACGGGGACCCAGGCACCTGCCCTCCCAGCCGGCACTGCCCACAGCCAGCCAGCTCAGCATGGCTCCGCGACCGCAAGCCTGCCATGCGCCTTCAGTTGGAATCACAATGTACCCTCTTTTCTCAGAGCCCCACAACTGCCGCTCGTCCTCCGTCATAGGCTCACAAGCATTTATTTGGTGCACCCCAAATTCTAAACCAGGGGAGCTGGCTGGGAGCTGTCAGGCTCCAGGGCGAAGAACCCCATTAGAGCAGTCAATCCCGCCCACAGCCTCACCCACTCCCCCTTCTCCCCTCCCCCCTTCAAACCCAGCTCCAGGCGCCCAGCCTCCTGTCCGGGCCTAGGGTGGCAGCCGATGCCGGCGCCCCCACCCAGCCGGGGTCGGGAGCGAGGAACCCGCAGGGGGCTGCAGAGTGGGCGCCCGCCCCAGCCCGCCCCTGGGCGGGTGTCTTCGGTAGACAATGGCTCAGGCAGCAGCGCCTCGCCGACTAGGAGGGAGAAAAACAAATAGGGAGGGGGCGGCGGCGCCGAGCCTGGGGACCCTCGCCCTACCCATTGTGTCTCGCCAAGACCCCCGCCCCGGACGGCCTCCCTCTCCCCGCCTCCGCTTTCTCCAAGAAGCGCCGACCCCAGATCGCTTAGCTCCCCCCACCCGAATCCAAGGAACAGAATATCTCTCAATTCACGAACGTCGCGAAGAGGGGGCTAACGGGCGGGAGCCTGATCAGGGGGCGCAGGCCCGCGATCGCGGCCCCTCCCGGCGGAGACTCACCCTGCGGGCTGGGGGGCTCCGGCTGCGACTTGCCGGGAGCCCTGGAGGCGCTGCCGAGCAGCAGCCCCAGCAGCGGCAACAGCCGCGCGAGGACGCTGGGGCCACTAGCCGGCGGCATCGCGGGGCTAGGCCGGGCCCTAGCGGTCCATGGCTCCCGCCTGGTCCCGCTCGCCCGGCCCGGCGCAGCCCCAGCTCTGCGCCGCGCCTCGCAGCTCCGGCTCCCGCTCCGGCTGCGGCGCCCGCTCAGCGCGATTGTCTCCGCCCGGAGCCGCCGCAAGCGCCCCCTGCAGGCGGCGCGCCACACGGCTGGCCCCCCGGCACCGCCCCCTCCCGGCCCGGCTCCGCCCGCCTCCCCCCAGTACTGCCCACCTTCAGCCCACCCCGCAGCCCCTGCTCTGCGCTCCCAGACTCTGGGCTGCAAAGGAGTGTCGGGATTAGGGTCCCATCACCCGGGTTCTTGGGTTTTGAGAGTACCCAAAATTGGTGCAGAATTTTTTTGTGTGTAGGTTGGGAGTGGCTATTGCTTACAACACTCTCAAGGGGTACGGTCATGAAAGTCTCAGAAAAGTGTAAGAACTCCCTGCTCGATGGCCCCCTTCTCCCGGCAAAACACCTAGGCAGTGCTGGGGCAGGGAAGGCCCCCTAGACACCCCTAAGTCTCTTTTTTGTTTGTGAGACAGAATTTTTTTTTTTTTTTTTTTCAGGGACAAGTGAACATTTATTTTTGGGCCTTTCTTACTATTTCAAGTCTTTTTTCAAAACAAGGCCCCAGGAATCTCCAGATTCAATTATGTCCCTGGGCTTGGTCGACTGGTGCAGGAGTCTTGGGGAGCCCTGTACAAATGCTAGAGTTACTCATTTACCAACACTAAACTCTAGGATAGAAGATGCCCATGGAATGTGCTGATTTTAGATGAGGTGGCAGCCAATGTAGAAAATGCTGGAATTTTTCCTTGGAACTGGACTGTGATGAGAGGTGCTTGCCATGAACATAGGCTAGTGTCCTCTTCTTCTTCTTCTTCTTCTTCTTCTTCTTCCTCCTTCTTCCTCCTCCTCCTCCTCCTCCTCCTTCTTCTTCTTCTTTATTTATTTATTTATTTATTTATTTATTTATTTATTTTTTACAAGAGTCTTGCTCTGTTGCCCAGGCTGGTATGCAGTGGTGAGGTCTTGGCTCACTGCACCCTCTGCCTCCCAGGTTCAAGTGATTCTTCTGCCTCACCCTCCCAAGTAGCTGGGACTACAGGTGCGTGCCACCATGCCCATCTAATTTTTATATTTTTAGTAGAGACAGTGTTTCACTATGTTGGCCAGGCTGGTCTCGAACTCCTGACCTCAGGTGATCTACCCACCTCGGCCTCTCAAAGTGCTGGGATTACAGGTGTGAGCTACTGTCTTTTCTTTGACCTTTCCTTTCCAGTTTTTGAAGATAAAGCTGGAAATAATCTTCTCTGAAGATACTTGATAAAAATTCCCATAAAAACAAAAACACATGCTTCTACTACACATGCTTCCACTTCATTGATAAAAATTTACTGCAGTTTGGCACCTGGGTCTAGTTCAGCTGGCAGATGAGCTGACTGATGCATTCACCCCGATAGCCAGGTGTGCCCATCTCATTGAGGAAGCCCACTCTATTTTTGGTAGCATGATGGGCCACTGAGAGGTGGAAAGGGCGCAAGAACCATGAGATCTCCTGGAAATGCTTCCCTGGGAAGGCAATTTCATGAATGAGGTCTTCCAAGCAAATGACACCAAACTTCCCCAGGTGCTCTTCAATCACTGTGTTGTCTGTCAGAGGGATGATCTTATTCTTGACCTTGGCTTGTCCGTGTTTCAAAATGAGTTCCTGGACAGACTTCTGATTTGGAAATCCCCAGGTCACATAAGGTTCCACTATACGCAGCATTTTTAGGTTCTGGGGGGTGACATTTACAAAGACACCACTAAAAATGTTATTTAGGCAAAGTCTTACAAATGGTTCTCTGCACCAATAAACTCACGCCATCAATTCTTTCGATGCATACAACAAAGGTCAAGGAATGTTTATCTGGCAATTCCAAGGCGTGACGTTTGACTTCTAGTCATCTGAGATGCATTTTGTCACATTTCTGCCGCTAGGAATCATGTAGGAATGATTCCAGTTGCTTAAACTTGAGCCCTTTTCCTTCCCTCTGCTCCTTCTTTGACAAAAGTGCCTGCTTTGCCTGGGTGGCTTTGAGGGCTTCATAAGCCTTCCTCTTTTTCAGGAGATTTTCTAGAACCAAAGGGATTTTTCTTTGCTCTTGCAAAGAAAAATCTTTCTAGTGTTGCAGCTACTGATCATTAAGAGTCTTTTGCTATCGCCCAGGCTGGAGTGCAATGATGCAATCTCGGCTCACTGCGACCTCCGCTTCCTGAGTTCAAGAGATTCTTGTGCCTCAGCCTCCTGAGTAGCTGGAATTACAGATGCCTGCCACCATGCCCGGCTAATTTCTGTATTTTTAGTAGAGATGGGGTTTCACTGTGTTGGCCAGGCTGGTCTTGAACTTGTGACCTCAGGTGATCCTCCCGCTCAGCCTCCCAAAGTGCTGGGATTACAGGTGTGAGCCACCGTGCCTAGCCCTAAGTCTCTTATTAAGCCACTGGCAAGTTACTCAGCCTTCTGGTCCTGTCTTCCTTTAAAATGGGAGTCGTCATAATCTCTGCCTCATAGGGTTGCTCTAATGACTAAATGAGATGTAATGACCAAATAATGATGTAAAGACTCTAGCACAAGCCTCACAGGAGCAGGGGCGTAATAAATGCTGCTATTGCTGGCCCAGGGTGAGGTGGGGACTCACCTGTGCCCAGGTAATATGATGCATTGCTGGGCAGTGCTAATGGCTAAGGAGTGTTTCCAGAGCTGGCAGCAGCCTTTCTCTTCCACCAGTTGGTGATTCTCAGTGGTCTTGGTTCTGGCTTTGTGAATGATACACTGGGTCTCTCCTTTGTCCTCAGCCATTGAATCCTGTATTTGAGGACAGCTATTGGCTTGCCCTAGTCCCAGCCAAGCTCTCTTTCCTTCCAGTTCAATATTTCTGGTTGTCATCATCAATCAGTTTCCAGCTGGCCAAATCCTTATCTGGTATCTCTTCCCTGGTTCTCTCCGGTTTGTCACCTTCTCTTTCTCACCGTGTGGTGGCCAAGCCTAAGGGATTGGATACCTAAGGCAAGGACCCCATTTCCCAGAGAACAGCAGGCTTCCCTCCTGGTTGGGTCTTCTGATTTAAGGGGACATCATTATAAGCTTGTGGACAGAATGAAAACTGCCAGTGTATCTGTCTCTCTTCTTTCTTTCTCCCTTCCTCCTTCTTTTCATCTCTCTCTCTCTTTTCTTTTCTTTTCTTTCTTTCTTTCTTTTTTTTTTTTTTTTTGAGACAGAGTCTTGTTCTGTTGCCCAGGCTGGAATGCAGTGGCTGCGATCTCAGCTCACTGCAACCTCCGCCTCCTGGGTTCACGCCATTCTCCTGCCTCAGCCTCCCGAGTAGCTGGGACTACAGGCTCCCGCCACCACGCCTGGCTAATTTTTTTGTATTTTTAGTAGAGACAGGGTTTCACTGTGTTAGTCAGGATGGTCTTGATCTCCTGATCTTGTGATCCACCCGCCTCGGCCTCCCAAAGGGCTGGGATTACAGGCATGGGCCACCGCGCCCAGCCTCTCTCTCTCTTTTCAACAGAAATTTCCATCTCACCAGATTTCCCAGTACTATTCTTATGTAACTAGTTTTTTGGAACCTCGGCACAAGACTTAGCACTCATCCCTGGTGAATTTCATCCTGTTGGTTTCTACCCAATTTTGCAATCTGTCAAGGCTGCCTTGAATCTGCTTCAGTTACCCATTGTATTGGAGCTCCCTCCCAGCCAGCAGCCATCTGCAGGGTGAAGAGTGGCTTCCTCTGCCTCCAGTCAAGCGACTCATGACAATGCCAGGCAGCCCAGGGCCAGGACGGAGCTTCATAGAGATCTCCTTCAGCTTTATCAGAATTGTTCAGGTCTAAATCCGAGTCTCTATGATCCAGCTCACATTTATGTCTTGTCTATAAGGACAAATGCCAAATGCTTTGCTGGATCAAGATAAGTTGACTGGAGCCATCCAATTGCAATGATGGAAGGAGGAGGCAATTTGGCTGGTGTTCAAAGATCACTGCTTAATCTTTTCTTAAATGCGTTCAGTCACCCAAATAGAAACCTGTTCCGAAACTTGCCATGCATGTATGTCAAAATATTCTTTTCAGAATTTACTATTTACACCTTTGGGTAAAATCAAATACCAACAGCTTTTGCTGTTGTATTGTTCATCAATGGCTTCCCCCAACACTTGGCGTCAAGTCCAAAGTCCTCCCCATGGCCACGGGGTGTTCCTGCCCCCATCCCCCATCTCCTGGACCCTCACCCACCTGCCTCCAGCCACATGGGCCTCCTTGCTTTTTTTGAACACACTAAGCCAGCTCCTACCTCAGGGCCTTTTCACTGGCTGCTCTTTCTTTCCAGAACATTTTATCTTCATGTAGCTGCATGGCTCAGTCATTCATCTCCCTGCTTATCTCATCAAAGAGGCCTTCCCTGACCACCCTACCTAAAATGTTAGCAGCACCCCTCCAAACATCCACCATATATATATATATGTGTGTATATATATATATATACACATATATATATATGTATATATATATATACATATATATATATGTATATATATATATATATATATATTTTTTTTTTTTTTTTTTTTTGAGATGGAGTGTCGCTCTGTTGCCAGGCTGGAGTATGCCTCCTAGGTTCAAGTGATTCTCCTGCCTCAGCCTCCTGAGTAGCTGGGATTACAGGTGTCCACCATCATGCCTGGCTAATTTTTGTATTTTTAGTAGAGACAGGGTTTCTCCATGTTGGCCAGGTTGTTCTCCAACTCCTGACCTGAGGTGATCTGGCCGCCTTAACCTCCCAAATGCTGGGATTACAGGTCTGAGCCACCACACCTGGTCCACCCACATACAATCTATCACTCTCTCGTCACCTTTATTTTCACTCACAGCACTGACTGCCACTGACCATACATTTATTTATTTGTTTACTTTACTTTTTGCCTCTGCAATGTAAGTTCCAGGAGGGCAGGGACATTGCTTTGTTCACTGCTGCACCCCAGCACTGGAATAGTGCCAGGCATGCAGTAGGTTCTCCATGATTATTTATTTTTATTTTTAATTAAAAAAAATTTTTTTAGCCAGGGTCTCAGTCTGTCACCCAGGCTGGAGTGTAGTGGTGAGATCAAGGCTCACTGTAGCCTTGGCCTCCCGGGCTCAAGCAATCCTCCTGCCTCAGTCTCCTGAGTACCTGGGTCTACAGGCACACACCACCACACCTAGCTAGCAATTTTTATTTTCATTTTTATTTTTGAGATGGAGTTTGGCTTTTGTTGCCCAGGCTGGAGTGTAATGGCACAATCTCGGCTCACTGCAACCTCTGCCTCCCAGGTCCAAGTGATTCTCCAGCCTCAGCCTCCCAAGTAGCTGGGATTACAGGCGCCTGCTACCATGGCCAGCTAATTTTTTTGCATTTTTAGTACAGACGAGGTTTCACCATGTTGGCCAGGCTGGTCTTGAACTCCTCACCTCAGGTGATCTGCCCACCTCGGCCTCCCAAAGTGCTGGGATTACAGGCGTGAGCCACCTCACCCGGTCAATTTTTATTTTTTCAGAGACAGAGTCTTTCTCTGTTGCTCAGGCTGGAGTGCAGTGGCACGATCATAGCTCACTGCAGCCCAAAACTCCTGGGCTCAAGTGATCCTCCTGCCTCAGCCTCCCAAAGTGCTAGGATTACAGGCATGAGCCACCATGCCTGACCAATAAATATTTATTGAACCCAGGAATGAACAAATCCCTCAGGACTCCAGGGAGCCCTCCCTACCTCTGCCTCTCAGCTGTACTCACCACAGCTGGAGAGCTGTCTTCCATCCTCATCTTCTTTCCTGGCTAAAGGCTCTTCTTGGTGGGTAGCCAGGGAGCAATGCTCGCTCTCTCTTCCCTGGCATGATGCTGCCTTCCTCAGGCAACAGCTGAGCCAGCCTCCCTCTGCCCCTTCTCACTCCAAACAGCTTTAAAGGCCTTTTTTGATAGAAAGGCAGGTAGAGCATGTTATTTTTCCACACCTCAGGTCATTGTGAAGTTTACCCTTCCAAAATTGTAACAAATATGCTATTTAAAGCTGCCCTGGCTGGGTGCCATGGTTCACGCCTATAATCCCAGCACTTTGGGAGGCCGAGGTGGTGGATCACCTGAGGCCAGGAGTTCAAGACCAGCCTGACCAACATGGTGAAATCCCTTCTCTACTAAAAATATGAAAATTAACCAGCTGTGGTGGTGTGCTCCTGTAGTCCCAGCTACTCAGGAGGCAGAGGCAGGATAATTGCTTGAACCTCTGAGGCGAAGGTTGCAGTGAGCCAAGATTATGCCATTGCACTCCAGCTTGGGCAAGAGTGAGATTCTGTCTCAAAAATAAAAAATAAATTAAATAAATAAAGCTGCCCACCAAGGACACAGCCTGCCTTCTCTGATGCTCCCACCCCATCACCTGCCCTCCCATCCCATCCTGCCCTTAGACATGTTCATCCCTCTCCAGTCTTCCTTGAGGCCCTGCCACCCTTTCTCCTTTTTTTTTTTTTTTCCCTTTGAGACTGGAGTTTCGCTCTTGTTGCCCAGGCTGGAGTGCAATGGCGCAATCTTGGCTCACTGCAAACTCTGCCTCCTATATT